CCTGTGACGCGCCTAACGTTGGGCGCTTGTCTCCGTAAATCGCATGGTGTGCTTGATCAAACTGTATGATTAAAGCAACACTCGATTAGGTTGGCGACTGCGTCGCTGTCGCATGTGGGTTGCACTCTAAGACATGGTTTAGTAGATGGCTATACAGCTGCCGCCACACATTGTTACGTTGATGTTGGCGGTCACTTGTTGCCCACGGAATGGCCATCATTTGAGCCAACACTTTGACGAGAGGCACGGTTTAGTCTAGTATAGTCTAGTGGCAGTGGCATGTTTCATGGTGACCTTCCCCTCAATCATGCGGAGACACAGTGGACCACACACCGCATACTTATGGTCCCTATGGGTAGGCTGGATGAATACCCAGGATAGCTGCTTCATGGCATTGGCCACCTCACCAGGTGCCTTCAAGGGTTGAATCATCCCAATTTCTAGGACCCTTGTCTGTTCATTCTTCGTGTGCAATTCAAGGAAAAACAACTATGCTTCAAATCTTGAGCTTAAGATCAAATCTTGCCCCTCTCATGGCCCCATAGCACATTCAAGACTTTGCCCCGGCAGGTTGTGTTGGTATTGGCTATTGGCTGGGGTAATGGGATTGCCTCGATGCTACCAGCTAGCGATTCAATTGACAAAAACATTGCACCAATCCCGTTTTCATTTGGCGATGCGCCAATATAGCTAGCACTTTGCCATGTACATCGGGACCCCTTTATCACTTGCAAGGAAGGTAGATGGTACCGACAGAAACAAAATCACTCCCATTTACTCTATTCTGCCATGATTGGCCAACCTCCAGCAACAACAACCTCGCACGTGTATTCACAAAGTGTTCAGGACAACTCAGGACAAGATTTTGTTTTACTGCAGCTGACCGTTGACGTGGGAAAAGCTTTAAAGGACCATAACACCCCTCCAGTGCCAATCAAATGGCCCTCACTCAGCTCTACTGACTCATTTTCGGCCTGTCGCTGTGGGAACCTAACACCTTCCGTCGAACCACGTTTGCATGTGCAAGCTGAAGAACGATAACAGCAATCCAGCCATCAGGCGAAATCACCTCATCAGCCGGACCTGGACAGCCAGGCCATCTGGACTTGACCCTGTTCAAAAGCATGAAACCAACATGTTTGGGGGCTCCGTGTCACCCGTTGAAGCCATGGGTTCCTCCGCTGAACTGTCCGTTCGATCCCCGTTCGGTCCCCGTTCGATCCGAAGCCTGCACCAGACTATCCGAGACTCGATGCACTTGGCACACGGCACGAATGGGAATTCCCGGCGCCAGCCTGAACCCGCAGGAGCGCGGGTTTGGAGGAAGAGGTGTGCGTTCACGAAGGAGGTGGCAAAGTCCCAAAGATGGATGTTCAATGATACAGTACATGCATCATGTAAGCTGCTAATGATTGGTGTAACCCATTGAAAAATAATCAACATCAATATGAACCGATGTTGAATCAGGTACCAACCAGCGAATTCTGGCAATGACAACGTGTGGTTCACCAAGCCAGGGCCAAGATCATTCACACTTACCTCACCACGTCTTCCTTCACACAAACAACGTAACATTAAACAACAATAGCAACCAAAGAATCAGGATGTTCAACAAACAAGGACTACCCTGGTGATGGGTCCATAATTCACAAACAACTCGCAAATCCACACCAAACAGACACATGCACATTAGCCATGCTTGGATGCTGCTTTCATCTACTTTCTCTCTCTCTCTCACTCATTCACTCACTTACTCTCTCTCTCTCTCTCTCTCTCTGACTCTCTCTCTCCCTCTACGAACGAAAAGCTAAGAAAGCGAAGAGAAGCGATTTTGAAGACTTGCCCAGCTGGTGCGGACGTGGAATGACGAACTCTCAGCAGGGAAACAAACATAACATGTATAAGCTAATAACATTATAACCGTGCATAAATATATATATATATACATACGCATATATACAATCTCGCACTTTCAGCAAACGCATCAAGATGCATCAAGTAAACTCAAATCACCGTAAACCGAACCTCCTGAGTTGCTACGGTACAGTCATGGTTTCAACGCGTGTGCACATAATTCCATACACTTCTGACATGTTATATTGAAGTACACGGCACACAACTCTCCTGAGCTGTTCACCCTTTCTTGGTGACTGGTTGGTGGTTTCAACTGAATTGATGAATGCTAATCAGTGGGTTCAATCATCTCAAGCAGTTGAAAACTAAAACTATCCGAAAGCACCATCCAGGTGATGATGGGTCAGAACAAACACCAGTCCCTCTCACCCCTCCCTCCCAGTCCGAGGGGACTCGTCCGTCGTTGACGACCTCGTCCCAGTCGTTCGGTCCGGCGCTTCGGTCGTCCGGTCCTGGTGGCATGTCGGTTCTGCGTCGCCACCTGCCGGTCTCTCCGGGCGACCGGGGACGGTGCGAAGGCTCGGTGCGAAGGCCACGGAAAGAGAGGGCCCCAAGCCGTCTCCTGGCCCAGCAAGCAGAGTTCGGGCCTTTTGATGTCCGGAACCGGACTATAGTTATACCCAGACGCTCATGGGCTCTCATATGGAAGGGTCGGACCCTCATGTGGAGGGGTCTGGGGTCTCAAATCCCTAGGTTTTGAGGGACCAAGGGCTGTTTGGAGCGTCTGGGTATACATTATATATACATATATATACCACCTGGCCAGGGTGAACCGGATTCTTGATTGCAATTGCTTACGATGCCTGCACATTGAATGCCCCAAAAACGCTTCCGACAGGCTAGTGACTAGTGCCGTCTGCCATCCTCAGGATATAACCCCTGGCGACCTTTTTGAGGCCCAGTGGTCGAAAGAACAGGCTCAAAAAGTCCTTAAAACACGGGAAGGGGCAACATCAAACCTGATGGCATGGCCCTTTGGAAAACGATGTTCCTCTACAACCCAGTGGTTTTCAGGTTCCATGTGGGTCTCCTCGGCGTACGGTTCCCAATGGCTTTTGGCTGACGCCACAAAACGCGTTCTTCCAATGTTCTTCTGCAATAGTCAGGGTGCGTGTGTGGCAACGATTCTTTAGCCCATGGCCAGTTGGCTGCACTCCCCCTCAGGGTGGTCAAAACAGGAACTTCTCACTTTGAAACTGTGCCGGACCCTGCTTGGCTGATCTGAAAAGGACCTCGAAAATAACGGTGGGATAGTGGTGGAACTTGGCCCTGGTTATTCCACAACATCCTCACATCCCTCGGATGGGATCCAGGGTAGCTTTGGAGGAGGGTGGTGCCGTCCCTTCCTTTGGAAGGTTGCGTGATGTGGTATTGGTATTGGGTTTCAGTAGAGGAGCTGAGCATCATACTTCCAATGAGGTCACGAGGCCACAGTCAGAGGAAGTAATGATTAGTTACTGCCAAACCACCCAGGCGTTTGTCCCTTTGATTCCCTATGCCGATGTCAAACACCCTCCACCTACACGCTCTCCGAGCCCGTGCTCCACGGCCTCGCCTGCACTTCGCCGGTGCCGGTGTCCCATGGATAGTACACGAATGGATTCACCTCAGTGCACGGTCTGTTCGTGGGAGCGCCGGGAGCTGTGCGTTCTACTCCACCAGTTCAATAGAAAATTTCCAGGAAGTTGCCAAGTCTCACCACGAAACATAAAGGCCCTCCATGCCAACCACCTTTAAACACCACAACATAAACACATGTCAATATGTCCGAGGAGGTGAACAATAATAAGAAATGGTCACTTTATCCACACACTATGCGTCACAAATCCACACACTATGTGTCACAAGCTGCCCGTGTTCCACAGGCCTCGGCTTCTTCACAGACCTTCTCCAGTGCCTTAGGATAGATCCTGGCACCACGGCGATTTGCAACCTACGTTTTGATATCTTAAGGCCGCTTGTGCAACATCTGTTTATATCTGTTTCTTGTCTTTGGCCGGCCACCCTTCACAAGGATGTTCAAGCTTGTCTGTTCCACCTAAGAAGTTGAAGATTGTAAGTTGGGATTGCTACCTGGACCTTCTGAGGGAATGTTGGAGATCCCTAAACGCCTGGACACCCAAACGGGTAAAGGGTCCTGGTGGGTCTCCCATTCCATCACATGCGTGATCGGACAACCTGAGGCCCTGTTCTCAAAAGTGAAGGAGAAGGGCTGCCCATCGGACCGGTGGACTACCCTTAATATCCCTTCATATCAGCGATGGCCGTGCACTTCAGATTTGCATCTCTCTCTCTTTTTCCATCAAATCCAGTGTGTCTACTGCAGTGTACTGCTTCTCTTTGTTTTGCAGGTTCCCGTCCTGATCTCTGCATTCGGATTGTCCACCACAATCACGCTGTCGAAGAAAATGCGGATAACTCCTGGTAGACAAAAAGCGGAATCGCAAAGGCAAAGGGAAACAGAAGAGCGGTCCAAAAGCTTCATAGGATCTAGATGGATCTAGCAATAGCAAAGGTCTACTCGGGGTATATAGTTTGGGGAGTACTGTTGATTTATGCCTGAGCACACAACTTTTGACATGCATTAATTTCCAGCCCAATCGGATCCCAACATGTTTGTTCAATCTGTTCAATGAGTATTCAAGAGAATGACCACTGAACATTGAACATGAACGGATTCCTCTATGTTCGGGATGTCAACCAACCCACCCAGGATTTGGGCTCTGGGTTTTGACCCACGGCCAAATAAGTATCACACGTTATCGCGTGAGTCAGGCAGCGCTTTCAGGAAGTCGAATGGATCATGGGAATCTCAGATTATGGCCCTGTAGCCAATTTCAAGAAACAGCCGTGGCAACTACCCAGACGCTCAGGGGCTCTCATATGGAAGGGTCGGACCCTCATATGGAGGCCAAGGGCTGTTTGGAGCGTCTGGGTAGCAAATTTGTTTGCTTGTGTGATGTGGTGCAGGTTCCCGATTTCAGGTGCCTTTTCATGTCAATTGGTCACCCGTATGAAACAACATCACCCCACACTCTGTCCAACACTCACCGTGTTCGTCCACTTGCTCTCACGGCGTCTTTTTCGCTGGCAAATTGTCTCGTGGATCCGCAGGAAGAGCGTCGCTTCAGAAGTGGTCATACTGGTCCAAAGACTTGGGAGCACTGTCGAGTACTCTGTCAAGTCTGGTGGGCGATGAAGCCAAGCTCTGCTGAAAGCGTGCAAACTCCTGGTCATTGATTTTGATGCAATGTCTTGCCTCTCCGTGCGGACCGTGGGCGAAGGTCAAAGTTCTGAGGTCCCAACATGCACAAACAAGGCTCGGGTCGCAGGTGGTATGGGTGGTACGGGTGGAATGGCAGATCTTAATAGTGAAGTCATGCTTTGGTAGTGTCACCAGCAGGGTAGCAATGTGAGCACAAATCCTTGAATACATTGGTCCTGTGGTTCTTATCTGACTCAAGTGAGACAACTTGTAGAAACTAAATAGAAAGGGTCTCCGACATGTATCGTCTTCGCGATCATGATTGTCATTATCATCAAAATTCAATGTCATCCTTCACACACACACAATGTCAGAGTCTATGCGATGCCTTGCAAACTGCCCGTTGCAGTCTGTATTCAGCATTTCACTGCACCAAACATTGCCTCTGAGAGTCTTGATGGGACCGCTTTCTGTTTCAAACGGCGATTTTTGTTCTTTGGCTCCACCAGATCTGCCTGAGGGTAGGCGCCGCTTTGGACGTCCAGGCAGAACTGCTTCAGCGCGTCAACCGCACAAGTGAAGAGGTTGGCGTAGGTGATGGAATGTCGAGGATAACGACCCAGGTTGGTTCCCATCAGGTCCTGGTTCCACAAGAAAACACGGGGTGCCCGGCTTGTTCTTCTAATCGACATGTTTTGGTCGCGTGGGCAGCTCAAACCCAGGCCCGATGTATATGCATCTAAATATGATACACTTAAACATTACTACCAGGACCTTCCAACAGGGTGGTTTTTGGACACCCCTTCACCTCTAAGAGGCTATTTATAGACACCTCTTGGAAGGGCCTGGTGCTTCCAAGTCCTGCGCAAAACATCGGGGAGATAGAGCGCTTTGGTGAGGTGGACAAGTCTGTCGGCACAGTGGGACTGCCACTAGGTGCGACAGAGTGAGACCAATGTGAAGACATGTTATTCACCATGAGCAGGGTATAGATGAGGAGGGTAGATCAGGAGGGTAGATGACCTATATAAGTAGGTGGATGGTGAGAACACGACCGTGGAAACTCCAGAATGCTCATCTAATTACTCATCGATCGTACTGCTCCAAGTCTTCTCCCGCAGCTAAACACAAACAAAATCTACCCGCATCAATCGGAATTTAGTTGTCTGGTCTGATTTTTTGCAAGCCACTCGCACCAATGGGATTCTTATGCTTCTGTTTTGACCGAAATTGGTCCTCAGAGAAGATGAACTGCCCATCGCAGTTGGGGCCACTTCCCATGGAAAAGACCAACAATTTGGTGCGCTTGGTGATCTCCTCCGCCACCTCCAACGGGTCCGGAAACGAACGGAGGTGGAAAAAAAGGACAGCCAGGTGCGTTTGGATGAGCAAGCCCGAGCACTGGTGTCTGTGGAACAAAAAGGCCGAGGCTGCAAGGTTTGCAAGTGCCATTATAGAAGTTGGAGTTTGTTTGTTTGTTTTGGCTGCAGTTGTTCTAGCTATATGGTCAATTGCAGTGGTGGGAATGCCAAGCATGATCAACTGGAGAACCACTTCACACCAGCAGGGTCTGCTTGAATGGACAAGTGCTTGAGGAGGCTATCCATACCGCCTTCCCTGCTTCGCGACTTGGCGGCTTTTCTGCAGGGGAGCCAGGTCCGCAAAATAGGACAAACTGTGCTGAAATTCGCAAATTCGGCCTTGGCTGGCACGCATTCCATCTCCACCGCGATGCAACCAGCTGCCTCCAGTGCCATCACATCCTTGGGTAGCACACTTTTTGTGTCTGGTCGACTGCGGCAAGCAACAGCGTGTTTTGGGGTCAAATAACCTGAGCAATTCACCCTGTAGTGTACTTTTTTGGAAAACTACATAAAACGTACATAATGTTATGTATTTGGGGTCTATTTGGGTCTATCCTATTACTATAGGAACAGTGGATGATGATGGTCAGTAAAGGCCTTGTTCAAACATAGTGACAATTGTTTACTGACTGTTGCAGGCTATAGGACAAACCCAAAATATATTATTGTATAGATAATAGATGGACAACAATATATATATATATATACTAAGAATGTAAGAGGATGTAGCTGCATACCCTCCCTCCAACAAACATGGAAAGCAGACAAGCCCCTCTGTCAAGAGGGAACTTGTCTTTCCAAGGCCATTTTGCGCTTGCATGATTGTTGGTCGGGAGGGAAATTAGTGAACAAATATCCACCATTATCCACAAATCCCTCCAATGCACATGGCTCTCGGAATCAGTTTCTCAACCAAACTGGGTTCGGTTGATTGCATTGGTTGAGTCGGAGGGAGAGGAATCGGAACGAAAGCACAACCTTGACGCTCCGCTCCTTGTCCCACCCCAAGCAGTGCCCGGAAACTCGAATCTGACACGCGCGGGGAGAGACACCCAAATGGGTGTCACATTTCAAACAGGGAGACCGAGAGACCATGGAGGTTTAGGAAGAAGGAACGACAAACACTCCCAAGCAACTATGGTTTCCCTGCAGAAAACTGGTTTACCCTTTTCTCATCCAAGGATCGTCGTAGACCTTCTTCGCCTCCTCCGCCGTCTTCCCAACACCTCTTGGTCCGCCGTACCAGGTGTTGTTCACCGGCAAGTAGCCAACATGCCCACAGCAAGGGACGTGTTGCCTGAGGAACGGTCCACCTATGACGAATCAACATGCAGGGATCTAGCGTTTTGCAACTCCCCATGGTTAATTAGTTGATTATCTCAAAAAGTCTTAGAGATGAAATGGGTTGAAATGGAATTTGGCGCGGAAACGGAAACATACTGTGTTGCCCAATAGCTTTGGTGAGGCAAATTTCAAACTATTAGGCTATCTCCTGTTTCCTGACTATTAGCTAGAACGTGTGTTTGAAAAAATATATAGTCAGAAAAAGTTCTTTAACAGTTAATCCATAATAGATTCTAATAATTTAAAAAATATCAAGTAACCTGAAAAGTGCTATATAAGTTATTTCATTGTCCAACTTACAAATGTTGTTTAGGACCAAACTGAAGCAAATCACTGCCAATCATCCGTGTGCCAAGTCACCTCGCCAAGCCGGCAAACTTCTCTGGAACCAGGCCGGAGCAGTAGATAATGTCCGTTCCTGCAGCTCGCATCTCATTGGCCAGCTTCAAGGCCTTCTCTTGACTTTCCTGCAGAACAAAAAACACGGCAAACGTACACGTATGTACACGTATATACTTCTTTTCATCTTCTTTTGATGCGCTTGCTGCAGAAAATGCGGAGTCCTCGGAGTGGCTACTCAATGTTGCAAGTTCCCTCTACGCATTGGGACACTGAATCACCAATAGAGAAACGCAGCACCCATTTTCAAAAGCATCCGTGTTCTCAACCCCAGTGGCAAACCGAGGAGCTTGGATACTTGCAAACTATTGTAAACTTGTATTCTGATGTATTCTGTGGATTCCGTCACTTCCGGATGAGAACTGCTGCAATGAAGCCCCCCCATCTGGTGGTGATGGAAGGGGCGCACCCCAGCGCTGTCAGCGCACCTCAAACATCAGCCGCCTTCTCACCAGTTCGCACCTCAGAAAATGGGTACCACGGTACAAGGTACCATTTTTTTGATAGGGTCGTGTCCCATTTTGCTTTCATAGGGTCGTGTCCCATTTTCAAAAGTGCTTTCTATACTGTCGTGTCCCATGTTCCAAGGTACGGAGGATCCAGGTGCTGGACTTTTCGTCCCGATCTGTGGATCCGAATACCACTTCACCACCCCGCAATACCAACAGTGCCACGTGTTTCCCAAAACGCTGGGGCATTCGGTCGAGTGTCATAGGCGCCAGGGTTGATCCCGGTGCCGATCAAGGTGTTGGGTGCCCCACGTCCTGAGACGCGGTCGTCCGCGCGACGCGACGGCGGGTAGTCCCGCGACGCGACGGCCCAATGACGAGCGACCGCGGCGCCAGTCCACGTGACTCAGAAAAAAAAAGAAACACTAGGCTCTGGGGTAGTGTTGGAGGATGAGGTAGCGAACGAGTGAAAACACGGCCATGTTATTTGGTAGAAATTGATTGCTGCCAGTGGTTTTGATGCCAAACAGTGTTCAGTGATATTCAGTGTTCATAGCTCCTCAAATAGATAGAAAGAGTGCCCACCCACGGTGCAGTTTTCCAATTGGCATGTTATGCACCATTTGGAATCGGTGTCCATGTCTAGCCACCCTACAGAACAGAACCTGAGAACTGTTGAAGTCTGGAGAAGGAAAACACAAGTTTTGTTGAATCAGTTGGAACTGTGGCGGATTGGAAAGGAACAGTCACGCCAGCCGGACCAGGTCGAAGGGCCTCCTCCCCTCCACGGCTGCCGCATGGGGCCGCTGGATGGTCCAAGTCGGAGCATGTTGATCCAACTTGACAGTGATACGCTCTGGAAGAGACCCACATAGAACCTGAAAACTACTGGGTTGTTGAGGAACCTGTTCTTCCAGTCTGGTCCATGCCATCAAGGTTCATGTGGGTCTCTTCCTGGGTGTATTAGCTTTGAGTCGTGCGTTTCAGTGCCCCGACTTGGATGTCTCTTGACCCTCCCAAACGAACGACAGGAAAGTTCTGGATTACCAATGGATGGGAAATCAGGACTCGGACTAAAATGTCATTGTTCATTGCTGCTTTCTCCTCCCCAATTCCAAGGCATTCCTGCACTTAGAACTTGCATGAATGAAACGTAGCCGACTTAGCCTTCGCTCCACCAGGTCACCATCCAAAAATCCCCATTGTTCCACCGGCAACGTGAGAAAATCCACAGCTCCAAGAAACGGACGGCCTCCACCACGAACTTGCTGTGCTCCTGACAGCTGCCCCAAGCCACGATCATGTCCACACCAGCCTGGCAGGGTTCTGGAGCTCAAAGGAATCAGTGTTCAGGCACACTATACTCATGGTGGTGATGGAAGAGAAGTTGATACACTCCCTGGAATTCTTATGGAAAATAGTCCCTTGGAACTTGGAAGCCTACTTTCCTTTACACGCAGGCTTTTTCTCCACTTCAAAGAGGGTGAGTCGGAGTGTAAGAAGGAAGAACCCTCCCAACTCTCATGCTTTGTGGGTCTAGTAGCTGGTGTTGATGATGAAGGCTCAAGAACTGCACTGCGGGATGTACCACAAATCCACAAGGAACGACAGCAAGTGACATAGTACTCCTAGAATCCTAGAATCACTGCACCACAAAATGACAGGAAAGGAAGCCAAACCAGGGACTTTCCCAAGGGCATCAGCTTGTGCCTGTGACAAACGCCATCTGAGGCGTTTGTTGGGCCAAACTTAATGTAGACTCTTGATCAACCCCCGTATATCGCATATATAAACAGGTTTTGCAATCCTAATAGGGTGGTTGTTCATCAAGAGTCTACAGATGTCTATAGTACTCTAGAATTGACAATCAAACTTTCTTTGAAAAGGACTAACATTCATCGACTGCATGGCCGTCTTTTGGGGGTTTAGCTTAAGAGGTACCTCATGGCGCGACGACCGTGGCTCGTACGAAACTGAAAGAGAGAACCCAAGGAGTGGGGATGCCCCATGATGCTTCACGCAAACAACGCTGCTGTTTCGATGACAACGGTGCCAGTAGGAAAACATTCACATCGCAGGTGAAACCACAGGGGTTCATGGGAGTGTTCTGGGAGTGTTCTTAGGCCGACTACATCATATCGCAGGCATCTGCGCATCTGCTTTCTCATCTTTCTCTCCATCGTTCTTTCCAGGCGTTTAAGAATGTGCACCGTGGTTCTATTCGTGTCTTCCGCCTGCATGCTTCGATATATCTCTCGGCATTGGCACATGGACGCAGTCTGCGGACAGCCGTGGTCTGTCGCGGCGCCTCCTCGGCGGCGCGCGCTGTCCACTCGTCAAAGGCGGTGGTGAGGACCAGCTGGCGCTGACCCTGGTGTGAATGACGGCCACAGGCAGTCCATCGAAACAGATGCCAACATCGGACATCGCGACTGTGTTTGCTGGGTTTTCTGACTGGAGTTTCGTCTAGTTTCTAGAATTCTAGAGTGATACCTCGTGAGATCAAGGAGATGGAGAAGTGAATGTGCTTAGATGAACATGTTTAGACCATGCATTGTCATGGACAGCGTGTAAGACCACCCCAGAAGGGCTACTGTCCGAGTTCTCCAATGTGTATCAAAACAAGCCACCTCTTTCTGGCAAAGGACCGCACCTTGAGAGCAAGCATTTCTGCCACGGTCAGTTTCCTGCGCTCTGTCTCTCTCTCTCTCTCTTTCTCTCTCTTTCTCACTCTTTCTCTCTCTCTCTCTCTCTCTCGCTGGGCTCTCTCACAGCTGTCCCACAGGGACCCTTTGACAGAATATATCTACTAACCTAAGGCTCATGCAGGTCTGATGACATGCGTTCAGCTCTCTTACTCTTGCACACCCTGGGGCACAAAAGGATACAAAAGGTTCAACACATGTAGGGTTCCCAAATAATGATGATGATGATGCAATGATGATGATGATGATGATGATGACGACGACGACGACGATGATGATGACGACCAAGTGAATGTTAGCCCACTGCCACGATCACCATTCACTCATCAAAGGTTGAAACATGTTTTACCAAGTCGACTTCTTCATGCTTCTTCTTCCACGTCCTCTTCTTCCCAGGCTCTTGGCATTCGTTCACACTGCTCTGGTAGAAGCGAAACGAAACTGCTACCCCTCCAGCAAAAAAGGGAAGTGCTCGTCTTCCCAAGGACGCCCAGCGGCGCATGGCGCCTGAGCCTAATGTATAATCTAATTTATTGAATAGTTTCTGGATGTTTCTGTCAATGACACCCAAAACATCTATTAAACAAGAAACAACATACCAAGAGGTCTTTGGAATTCCCGAAGATGTATCTCGTTTTTCAATGTGGCAAGCAAATAGCAAATAGTGAGCCTGTTCCAGCTGCGTTTGACACGTGGCACTCTGCCACAAAAGAGTGCAATGTGTGTTACTTGATCTGAGCAAGCGTCCGCGATGCGTTCGTGCCAAACATCATTTTACTTCTGTGACTCTTCCATCCTTGTTGCACAAACCGGCAAATTTATCAACATCAATGAAAGGGCTGTGTATTTATGTATCCTTGTTGGGGCACAACCAAACCCACCGGTGAACAAAAAGTTGTCCACGGCTGGTTCCGGAGCCCTATGTCGCCCAAATAAAATAACTTGACGATCAAAGGATCTTGAACCTGGCACTGGCGGTGTGATGCCGCACTGGGACCTGGGCTTTCCCACCGTGTTATCGTCGGCCGGAGGCCAGGGGACTAGATATGTCCTTCTCACAAATTGCAACCATGGCAAAACACTGAACAATGGACAAACTATGGACACACTCTATGATGTTTTCTCCTCAACTATCAATAGCCCACTTCAAAACTGGGAACCAAATGCCCCGTCAGCTGAGATGCACAAATGTCATCAGTTTGGGAGGCTCTTCCTAAAGCTCTTACCTTACTTTCATTCAAATCCAAGTTATTCTTTCTAAACTTCAGGTCATGTGCCCCCACTCCACCAGCTGATTGTAGCTTCCCCCCACCGGTCAGACCGAGGTCCTTCCATCGTACCGAAAAGGTACCGGACGTCTATGGATCCAACATGATCGAACACCAACTCCAAAAAGCCAATAGAAGGACATAGTCCCACATACTGTAGTCCCACCTATGTTTTTTCCATGAGGTCGCACGTATGGTCTAGTACTGGTCATAAGTCCAAGCATTCCTCTCACTTCGCTCTCAGACCTTTTCCCCGCTCCTGCAGGATCCACGCCCTCCGCACCAATGGCCGGGTGCACCTGGGCTCTGGCCCGGCACCGTCTCCGGTCGAACCAGACGGTGCGTGTCATTCGGGCGAAGAGATGCAGGAATACTGAAAGTAAGGTGATACAAATTGGGAGTAAGGTGATCCCTTTATTCTCATAAGCAGCTAAGCAGTGCCGGATGAGAACAAAACAGAACAAGCACACAATTTGTTCTGGCTCTTGGCCTGAGTGCAATCATACGAAGTTCACCTGGGACGATGAACATGGAACATGAAAATGGAGATTTGGAACAGCATTTTCCTCTACAACCCAATAGTTTTCAGATTCCATGTTCATCTTCCAGGGCGTCAACCTGAATTGCCCAAGTCACCTGAGATGCTCCAAAATGAACCCGTTCATGGAGTGATTAAGCGGCAGAACCCCTTTCAAGGAGTGATGACGAGCAGCTAATGATGTGAATTCTGAATCATTGGGAATGATTAGCACAGCTCACGCAGAAGAAGGCCGTGGGTCATGGCTATACCTGACCGCACCGGCGGGTGAGGTCGTTCGCTATATTCTATGGTGTGGCTCTAGGTTTCGACCCAGATCGAGCAGGTTGGAGGTCCGCAGCGAAGACAAGTGGCACGGATCGAGCAAATCGAGCAGAAAATCTCGCCTTGTCACCTTGTCCCAATGCCCAATGTATGGTTGTCTTCCTATCTCTTCCTAATCTAGTGCCTGAACAGGTGCTATGCTACGGACAGGTGATTCATGCAACAACGAGAAGAAGGAGAGTGAGACTGTCAGCATCGAGCATCGTAGTGTCTGATGTGGACGTTTCTAACTCCCATCACACTTCACCAGGGAAGAGATGGCCTCCAAGTTTCGAGATGGACCCATGTTCTTACTGCCCTAAGGGTCCATCCGAATCGGATGTCCTTTGACCCCCGGTTCGACCATGGAATATGGGCTGCGTACATATATAAACCAAAGCTCAGCCTCCGGGCGGCTAAGACTTGCAAGTTCCGCACAGAGCAGCCCTGGCATGCCCTGAGGACCACGTACAGCAGCAGAACGGTGCACATTGATGAAGGACATCTGTCAACATTATCAGATTATCAACATTGTGGATGCTCCAAAAATGCCAAGGGATACACATAACATAACGTAATGATTCATGATGCTTGTAGTTCCAAGGTTGCAGGAGCAGGATGTTTGCCATCGATGCATATTATCAATATGAAGCCTCGGGTCCTCATATTGCCCCTGTACCACTAGTGGTGGGATGGTGCGGTCGGTCTTCCCAAGGACCCAGGAGTATCAGTATTTGCAATTCCCATCTAATTTACATCACTAAACAGCAGTAAACATGTGGAAGTATATTTACAGATAGTAGATATGATATATCTAATAGAACCCCCAAACAGATCGAAAAGGAGATCTACAGTAGATCCCCAGGTTCAGAATGTGGACACCGTGCTATCTATATGTTGACCACTATATAACATCTTGTACTTCCTGCATCCAATCCATCTGACGGTCCGGCCGACTTCCTGGGCATCCAAACCCTCCAGGCAAATGCTCTGGGACAAAGGCCACAGCCTCCTGGCGGGCAAAGGTGGCCTGATTCGCAAAATGCTACGTTAGACGTGAATTACGTTGATTCACTCACACTGAAGTGGAAAGACCTCATGTTGGTAGAGGAAATAGTCTTCCAAGCTTCCAAGAGACCATCTTCCACTTCCGTGTTAGTCACAGTTTAGAATGTCTTGTTCTTGTGGGGTTTTCGGTTCTATCTCTTCGTGAGGGGTGAAGTGGCAAGCGCCGCGCCGGCGTCGCGTTCTCACAGCGAAACACTGAGGAGTTAGCGGGGAGCGTTCTCTGCTGGGTTAGATACTGGAGTGCGGGTGCTATTTTTCTGGAGGACCGTCCAAAACCAGTCGTATACCATCTGATCTGGGATTCCAGGCCGGTCAAATAAAGTATATGTAAATGGCCATCCTTAGCATGGTTATGCCTATACTAACACCTTAGCCAAAAACATACAAGCACCATGTGGATTGTAAAGCCAGTGGATGCCTTGGCTTGAGGAAACCAAACTGATGAACACAAAAACTCAGGATGTTCCAAGGATGAATCCTCACCATCCTCACCCACAACTCGAACCGTTTGCCAAAATTGATCCTAAAGTGCACACGGCGGCCGAAGTCAAGGAAACGGAGAGATGGAAACAGCTGGTGCTTCTCTCGCAAGCTGCCCCTCAAATCGAAAATACCACATGGATCTGACTCACTCATAGAGTCCTCCCATGCCGCCCACCCACCAAGAGACGCCTCAAAGTACTGATGGATGCCAGAAAATACACAAAAAGGAACGACTTAGACTTAAACGTAACATAACTTGTCAAGTCTAGAAGAACATAACAACTGTCTATATAAGTTCTTCTGCTTAGACTTAAACATAACTTAGACTTAAGTTCTAGCAGAAGACTTCATGTCAACGATGAATCCCCCTTCAGCGCCCTCTGTTTCGCCTGCCCGGCCGGCGCGGTGCTGTCGGACCAGCCAGCTGTGCGGGACCACACCTGCCGATGCGTCCAGCTCGGCCGAAGCAAAACCACTTGGACCAAGCCGAAGTAATGATCTGCCATGTTTGAGAGCGCCAATTCCATTGGTGTATGCATGTTTTATCATTTCTGTATATCCCAGTGCAAGTCACCGTGGATGATGATGGTTAGAAAAAAGGCCTCCCAGTCCAACAGTGATCATATTTTACCCACCGGCGACCGCGCAGAAAAAAACATGCGGATCCTGTTCACACCTTGGACTCAGCTATGCATTGCCATGCCCTGCTGTTTCTGCCACTTACGGGGGCCACAGCACCTTGATGTTCAATCGGCCCAACATGCTACAATTCTCAGCATAGCCTATGGGCGTGGCTTGATGTAGGCTGCCTGCTGTTTTCAAAACGTCTTCAGTCTCATGAAGGATCTGTTCATATTCAATTCCCAGTCTGCTGCCTCCATCTGCCTCCACATCCCCCCAGCTTTCCGGGTGCCCTGGAAGCTCCAAAAACACGCCGCTCCCCAAAGCGTGAAAACCACCTGCCCATCAAAGCATCTGGACCTCCGAATTGAGTTGGGAGTTTGAACGCATGCAACAGGGCGCCCACTGCCAGAAACGGCACCCAGCTCTCAGGCAATGGACCAGGGATGTGCAAAACCTTCCAACATATCTCTCGGAACGGACCCATTGGAATTGTAGGCACCCGACTAAGGAATGTAGACTCTTGACTCATCAAACAAATCCATATGACAGATCTTTGCGTGTGATTTCTGTGAATCAATACCCTAGATGGGCCCACATATATCTACATGAAGTATATCACTTCCCACCTCCTTGCCACCGTGCTCCGCAAAAAGAAGAAACCGTGACTCGTCGAGGCACATCGGCGCTGGGGTAGCGTGGCCGGACGTTCACCGTCACCATGGAGCGCGCCGACTTGGCCGCCGCCGCCTGGGATGAAGAATCCCACCCAGACACTCCATGTATGCCATATATGCCTACATTGGGATGGTTTGGGGGGTCAATGTAGGCATATATTCCATACATGGAGTGTATGGGCCATACAAATTGGAGTGATCTACGATATATCCACTGAACCCCCCCCCCAATACCATGTGATTTGGGACATAACAAAGCCCAAGGAGCTGCTGGCACTCCGCCAAGCCAGGCGACCACATTCACCGGCCAGTCCAACAGCGAACGCGCCAGGCGTCCTGCCGGGCCATACACGCGCCCCTTCTTCGGTCTGTTCCCGTGACGGGAGGAGTCGCTTTCAGGGGGCCCTTTTGAGGTCAAAACCCGTTGGTTTAAGAGATTGTGTAATTTTGTCCTTAGCATTCAAAAGATTCAAACATGAATTTGAGGTGAACACAGGTTGGGGGGCATTTGATATAATATATATATATATATATTCTTATTATCTATCGAAATTGTTGGAGGGTACACTGTG